TTAAAATTTTATTAAAAAAAAAATATTATTTTTATTTTATAATAATGAACCAAACTGTGTGGTGGAAAGAATAAAATAATAAAAAAAATATATATAAAATAAGACAATAAAATAATAAACAACTTATTAAGCAGTTTGTTTAGACAAGACTTTGTTGTTATTGTTGTTGTTGTTGGTTGTAGTGTTTTTCTTTTAACAGCCAGTGTGGTCTAAACGTGCAGTGGCACAAAAGTTCACAGACGGATGGATGGACGGACGGACAGGCCAGGCGGTGGAGGATTGTTGTTAAAGTGAAAACATGTAGAAGAGCTTGTAGTGGAACAAAAATAAAATTATGAATTTAGAAGAGTCATTGTTTTTATTGTCATTTAAGCATGTTGTACGTGTCGTCTGTAAACACTTGAAATAACAAGCTTTAGCACCCATAAGTATGGAAACCAAGCCAAACAATCCACTACAGTGTTGAACAAAAGTTTCCCAAGAAAGTTTACCTTAAGCTTAATTAAAGTTTATATAACCTATTAGCTTAGCCAGTGTTTTAGGTATAATAAACTCAAAAAAATGCAGGTAATGTTTATGCTTCATAGTCATGTTTATTAAAATATTACTCTAGTATGCCGAGTCGCAGGGTATTTAAAGTGTTGTGCAAAACTTCATGTCATTTCATTACACCACACACCATGTTTATTTGAAATTTCATTTAAATTAGTTTGAGTAGATTTTGTGTCTGAAGAGGAAGAAAAAAAAAAAACACAAATATTTTCTTAACACTTTACTCCCCTGAAAACAAAGTAAACATATTTATGTTTGATTGTTGATTTTTTTTTTTCAAAATTCAAATTGTGTTAAATGATAAATTCTTTTTACACAAATCAAGTCCTCCCGTACAAATAATTTTTTTCTTTCTTTTGTTTATTTTAATTAAAACCTGAAAAATTAAGGCTGCAAACTGAAAACTACTCAATAACATGTTCAATAAATAAATATTAAACATGTGTGTGAATGAAGTATGAATACACTTATAACGCAAGAATGACCGTAATGGCCAAAATATAAAATCAGTTCATTTTGAAAACGAAAGAAAAAAACAGAAAACTTTGACTTTAAACAGATTTCCGGTCATGTACTACTATAAAGAGTTCCATATAGAACCATTAAGAATTCTATATTTTCTTTTCAAACAAACACAAGAATTAAACAATTTGTATATGATTGGTTCGGTTGTGGCCATGATTGACAGCCGATTGGCATGATTTTATATAAATATACATACACACACAAATTGTATGTAAGTTTAATGATTTGTATATGGTTTTTGAAAGCTTATTTATTTAAGAAAATATAAATGAAATTATTTTTTTAAAAATAAACTTTAAAATAATTGCCTGCAGTTGAATTGTTTTGTTAAAGCATATAAAAATTAAATGAATGAATATGAAATTTACTAAATGTTAATGAAATTTTAAATAAACTTAAAAGAAATAAAATATTAAAGAATTTTGAAAAATTTTATTAAATAAACTTAAAGTTTAGGAAAAAAATAGTAATTAAATTAACTAATAGCCAATTTTTTTAAAATTGTAAATTAAATTATTTTTTCTTTTTAATTTTATTTCAAAATTTTCTAAGTATTTTTTTTAAAGATTTCCTTAAACTTTAAAAACACTTTAAACTGTTTTTTTTTTTTCATTATCAAAAATCTCCACAACACCACTTGATATTAGAGCATAAACACTATATAAAGAAAACTAACGAAAAAATAAAATACAAATTTCAAAAATCCATGATTAATGGATTTTTTTGTATATAAAAATAATCGTCTTTAGAATTTACTATCTATCAAGTGGTTTTAAGACTGCACTTTAGCAGCACTTAAAGTTTTTGAAGCAAAAAGAACGAAATAAACACAAGACTAAAAATACAACATAATTTTTAAGATTGTAGTTCTTGAAACCATATAAGAAGAAAAAAAAACCCAAGATTATCAAATACACTACACTAACGTCTCCACAACCCCACCAACTCCCCTTAGGTTAAAGTAACATTATATAAGTAAGAAGAAAAAAATACAAAAAAAAAAAAGTTTTAAGAGCAAAATTAATCTTTTAGGCGTGTTGCTTATTGTTATAATAACGATGTGCAAAAGCCACTTGTAACATCTTCGTAGGCAACATGATCATGATCATCAATGTAATGTTCAGGGGGTTGCAAGTTTGAGGAAAATTTTTCATTTGATGTAATTTATGTTTTATTATACAAATGAAGTATCTAGTCAAGTGTTTTTTTCAAGTGTATATTATGATTTTATTACATCATTGAAAGTAACAAATTTAAAGCAAATAAATTTTGAGAAATTTCAATAATTTTAAAAGGAAATATACCTAAAAATAGGCTTTGAATTTAATATTTTAAGGCGGCCTTAAAGTAGGCTTTAAATTTTTATTTTAAGAGGCCTAAAAGTAGTCTTTTAATTTATAATTTTATAAAATGTTTAAATACATTTTTATATCCTATACTACTATAATGGGGAGGTATTTATACGTTTGTGCTGATGTTTGTAACGCATAAAAATATTGGTCCTACACCCACCTTGAGTTGATTAAGACATGTCCGTCCGTCCCTCAGTCCGTCTGTCCGGCTGGCTGTTCATGTAAACCTTTGTCATGAAAAATAAATAATTTTTAAAATATACCCATAGTGTAGGGTATCATATAGTAGGCCATGTTCGACTATACATTCTTACTTGTTTATGTCGTGTACTACCTAAAAGTATATTTTAAAATAAAAGCATTTTGCTTATGTTATAATTCTTCCTTAATTACTCTGAGAAAAAAAACCTCCTCAAATTTATCACTCAATTATTAAAATTTTATTAAAATAATTTTTTCATGTAAAATTAAACAAAATATAAAAAAAGTGCCGGGAAATATTATTTAAACAAAAAACCGCAGAAAAAAATTCGTCATGTAAAAACAACAAATTATGTGGCTTGAATTTAAAACAAATACAGCAGCAATTAATGCAAAAAAAATATAAATGAAAAACCTTATGAAAACCACAACGAATTAAAATGGTGTTTTCTATATAACATATGACATGATGTTTTTACCTACATTTTTTTTTGTAACAAAAATTTATTATAAATATCATATAAAACCATAAATTAATCAAGAAAATGCAACAAAATGAAAACGCCTGAAAAGCTGCTTTAAAAAAAATTTAATTAAAACTAGGGAGCGAAGGACCAAAAAAAAAAATCGAGCATTATTTAAAAATATTTATGTATTTTGTTAGTTTAACTTTATTTTGGTAGTTGTTGTTTTAAATATAAAGAAAATCTAATGTGATATTTTTTGTGTATTTTTTTTTGTTGGTCTCTTACAACAAGAAATAAAATCACAAAATTTACTGCAAATTGCTTTAGTGTTTTTTTCTCTTTGCTGTGTGCAGTGTTTGCAAGTTTCATAGGAGTTAAGGGGGGGAAGAGGAGGGGCGGGTTTTGTGTGGAGGAGTTAGTGAAAAAGAAAACAAACTATAACATATCCATTTTAATATATTAGATTTTCTCATAATGTAGTTATATGCGAAGTATATGTTAAGAACATTTATTTTTGGTAAAATGTTTCTTTTTGGTCTTACAAAGTCTAACTGTATAAAACCGTCACATAAATTGAAAATTTTCTTTAAATGGTATGAAAGCAAAAATAAGCAAATGAATAGAATTTTGTCAAACAAATTGAAAGTAATTTAGATTCTTAAATTAGAAATTTTATTTTTTTATAATTTTATTAAAAGAAATTTTTTGTTAGAAAGACAAAATTTAAAAGTTTATCCAGCTAAGGTAATAAAAATAAACATTTTATGCTTATAACAAAAATGATTTTTTATAAATTATATTAAAGTTTTTTTCTTTAGTTATTTTTTTTATTTGGGGAAAATTATTTATTTTGTCATTTTAACTTATTTATTTAGGCTGGAAAATTTTATCTTAAATAAACTTCCGTTTATATATTGTTTAAATTTTTCTTTAAAAAAAAAATTCGTTTAAATACAATACCACAAAAATGCTGCTGTTTTACACATTTATATTTTTTTCCACAATTTTCTTCAACTCATTTTAGTAAATAAATTTAATTTATATTTAAAAAAAATATTTGTTTAAAAAAAAAAAACACAATATAAATAAATAAACAAGGAAAAACTATACACATAAAACAAATAATAATTCAAATTTAAAATTCTTTTTCAAGAGATTTTAAACAATAGATAAAAATGATTTAAGCAAGCAACAAAAAAATTTAAATAAAATAAAAGTGTTTAAATTAACCCAAAATTATGCATAAATATTAAATAACAAATAAATCTAAAGGCCCCCGGTATGTGTACACTTCTGGTTTTAATGACAAATATTAATTTTGATCCCACCCAAACTGAAATATTTAATTATATTAGAGTCTTTTGTGAACAATTGTTGAAGGTTTTGTTTTACTATGATTATCATATTCATTTTAGTATTTGTTTTTTAAACAAATTTCATGGGTTTTGATTTTGTTAAATATGTACATACCAACGAAGAAATCTAAAACCTAAATAAGTGGCAAGTAAATATTTGGGGGGTAAATATATTGAGAAATATAGACTGAATGGCAAAAATAAATAATAACGAAAAAATGACAGTAATGAGACAACTAGCATTACTAATGTTGTGAATATGTTAGATCTAGCTAGAGCAAAATAGGAAAATTTTGTTAAAATTTATAAAAGTTTTCGAAATTAAAAAAAAAAATAATATTATTTTTGCTTTGATAAAGACGTTTATGCTTTTAAAGTCAATAAAACTTCAAAAAGAATATTTTTGCATATAAAAGCATATTTTGCATATAAAGCATATTTTGCATATTTTTGCATAAAAAATCATATTTTGAAATATTGCTTAAACAAAATTTTTAAAAATTTGTTATTCTTTTACTAATTAAATTAAATTTTTGTTTTATTTTTAGGCGATGCCAGCAATGCTAGTATAGGTAGCGGCGAAGGCACCGGCGAAGAGGATGACGATGCGAATGGCAAAAAGAACCAAAAGAAACGTGGCATTTTCCCAAAAGTAGCAACAAATATTTTAAGAGCGTGGCTGTTTCAGCATTTAACAGTAAGTACAATTTATAATATTTTCAATTAGTATTTTATACTTTATAAATATAAGTCATAGCACAAAAAAATAAAAATCCACAAAAAACGCGCGCCATTTTATTTGGTCTGCCTCCCCATAAATATAAACAAAGTAAAACAAAAATAAGAAAAAGCAGGCAGTAAGTCTATAAACTATATAAAAACGACAGCCATATTAAATGTCGATAATTAACCGTTTAGTAGCCTATAATTATCAAAAAAACACACAGGCACAATACAATAATAATACATTCAGCCAACAAACAGAAAATTAAATAAAACTGAAACAAAAACCAGGCTTTACAAGAGCAGACGCAATAGTTGCAACCTAAACCAGAAAAGCCAAGACAGCCACCAACCAAATAAACTGAAACTAATAAAAAAAAAACTAAAGAAGAAACAGTCAAGTCAGTCAGCCATCAAACAAAAATTTTTATATGAAAACGTAATAATACACACAAAAAGCAACAACAACAACAATTATAATAGCAACAAACAGAAATGGCAAACAAACATAAAAAATAAAAAAAAACATTGGAAACAAAACAAAAACTATAGTTGTTGTATGTTTAAAAGAAGTGGAAACTTAAATTGTGTGTTGCAGCCAGACACGACCTAAAACTTGTGTTGTTTTAAATGTTACTTTCTTGTTGTTGTTGCTGTTGTTTTTGTTGTTGTTATTATTGTTATATGTATAAATGTCGACATTGTGCAAATGAAACACTTTGTAAAATTACTTTATGGTTACTCGCGCAACCAACAACACATGGAACATATTATCAGCAGCAAAAAAAAAAAAAAAAAATAATAAAACCTATAATAATATTATATTCTTGCAACAAGAAGAAAAACTTAATAAAACAAAAACAAAAAAGGAAAAAGTAGGAGGGGAGTCTTTTTTCTGTATTATTTTCTTGTTCTCGTCTTTTGCATGTTTGTTCGACTGACTGAATGACAGACGCACATATTACAGACAGACTTGCATATGTATAAACATTTGTTGCCTGGGTTTGGAAACAGTCAGTCAGTCAGTCAGCCAGCCAGCAAAAGCAGAGTGCTAATGAAACAAAAGAGTGCAATATTGTAGACAAAAAAGGGTTAAGCTGATATGTTTTAAAATTATGTAGGAGGGTAGGGTTGAGAATTCTAGGTATAATAACTTAAACTTTTTTGATGAAAAGCTTTTGACAAAATATATTTTTAAAAAAGCCTTTTGCAAAAAGTGTTTTTTTTATTAAAAGCTTTATGATCCATTTTTGTAATGATAAGTTTTTGACAAAAAATATTTAAAAAAAAAGCTTTTTGTAAAAAGTGTTTTTTTTATAAAAAGCTTTATAATCCACTTTTTAATGGTAAGTTTTTGACAAAAAATATTTTTAAAAAAGCTTTTTGCAAAAAGTGTTATTTTATAAAAAGCTTTATGAAAAATAAGCATTTTTTACTGAAAGCTTTTAATAAAGAAACATCTTATTGAAAAGCTTTATGCTTTTATGAAAAGATTTTGACAAAAAAAAACGTTTAAAAAAAGTAATTTTAGGAAAAGCTTTTCTCAAAAAAGTTTTTGTAATTAAGACATTTGGAAAAAAGAATTTTTCAAAAGCTTTTAGAAAAGCATGATTTTTAATTAAAAGCTTTTGAAACAAGAAACATTTTTATAAAAGCTTTTATGAAAGCTTCTTTTTGTATAACAAAATTTGATTGGAACTTTCGATATAAAGCTATTATTTTCAAACAAAATCAACATAATGTTTACTTCTCTTAAATAAGTTTTGAACTTAAGCTTTCCACTTCTCACTTAATTTAAAAAGCTTTTAACAAATTTCTGCTATAATTTCTCAACCTTTAGGCAAATTTCTTAAATAATTATTAGTTTTTGCTTGTGGTTTATAATTTTAATCAGTTTTTGTTGTTGTTGCTTTTACGTTCGTCTTAAATATAAACCATAATGGCTGACGCCTTTAAGGCCGCCTATTTTTAAAATAACATGTGCATATTTTGACGACGTTGTTGTTGTTGTTGCTGGCTGTTATTATTGTTTTTGCTCGCTATTTAACACCATCATGCATTTTCCGTGTTGATAATGATGTTGTTGTTGTTGTTGCTATTGTTGTAGTTTATATATAATTTTTTTTGCTTTCATACTTGGCTGTTTTTAATTTTAATGTACATACAACAACAAAAGCAATAATGTACGTACAACAAAAAATGTCTACAAAACAATTTGCGCATGGCGACGTTAACATTTGTTGGCTGCACACACACAATTACACAAACAGTCCAACAAATAAACAAACATTTTTACATACACATTTTTTACAAACAAATATAAATTGCAGTGTGTAAAATGAAATAAAATAAAAATATTGCAGACAACACGTTCCAGCAAAATGTTAAACTTGTCATGACAACCTTCTACTACTCATACTACTTCTACTACTGACTGCCAGCCTGCCACCACCACCAACAACAACTACAACAACAATTATGCCCCTTACTCTTTTTTTCCTTAACAAATTTATTTATTACATTTTAAAGTATTATTAAAAAGAAAAATGAGGCAAGTAGTAAGGAAAAGTATGTATGTGTATATATTGTGAAAATTGTTACTTTATATTTTTCACCAAGTTTAAATAAACAATTTATTTATTTATTGTAGTTTATGTTTTCTTTATTTTCTTTGTGGTTAGAAAAATAAAATTCAAACTAATGTCTCTAACTTACACCCCTGATGACAGGCCAACGACAAATATCATCTTTATGCCAAAGAAATAATATACACACTTGCAATGTTATGGTAAAACAGCCTTTAAGTAAAAGAGTTTATACACAGAGGGAAAAGGAAATATACACGCCTGGTACCAAATTGACACCAAAGAGTTTATAATTTTCCAATAACGTCCGTTGTCAAAGTATATATATAGGTACGTATGACAACACTATGTAATGTTGACAATGCAACGTTGTCAATATTGCAACAATTCGTTGTCGAAACCTAAATTTTATACACATCCGTTGTCTTAATGCGGTAAGCTCACTATTGGCAACGGATTGTTTGTCAATAGTGAGTTTACCACGTATGTTGGTTGACATTTAGACAACGGCTGTGTATAAAATTTAGATTTCGACAATGAATTGTTGTAATGTTGTCAACATTACATAGTGTTGTCGTACGTATGTATATATATACTTTGACAACGGATGGTATTGAAAAATTATAAACAGTTTGGTGTCAATTTGGTACCAGGCGTGTATATTTCTTTTTCCCTCTGTGTACTTGGCTTAAGTACATATTTTTTTAATTTTTGAGGATATGAAATAATTAGCAGGAACTTATTAATGGAATATTCAAGCCAATTTTTTCTTTCTTGAGCCAATTTTTTAAAAATTTCCTACAAAATTTTTTTAAAGGAAATTATGGAGATTTATGTAAATAGATTTGGGAATTCGAAATATTACTTAAAAATCTTCAAAAATTGTTAAAGGGCTTAATATTCATTAATTTTGTAAAAATTTTGACTGAATTATGTAAAAGGGATTTTAGGAAATTTGTGAAATGGCTTTAAGATTAATTAAAAAATTTTAACTTAATTTTTTAAAAAGGGATTTTTAGGATTTTTTTTTAACAGTTTGGGAATTAAAAAAAATTAAATACCAATTTTAGTTAAAATTTTCATTGAGTTTGTAAAGGAAAATTTTGCGAATTTTGGTTTAATTTTAAAAATTTCCTAAAAATATAAAAATTTTAAATTTTTTTCTAAAAATTTTCTTCGTCTACATTTTCCTCCAAAGATCTAATACCTTAAAATTGCTTGTTTTAGAAACAATTATTATTACTGTTGCTGTTGTTGTTGCTGTCTGCTTGCAACATGTGTATGATGATTGTTCTTACCATGTTGTTGTTGCTGTTTTTTTAGTTTTTTGTATTCTAAATGCAAGTGAAATTATTCTACAGTTTATGTGCAAATTTTGCTGTTGTTGTTGTTGCTGTAGTAGTAGTAGTTTTTTTAAGGCGTGACAGTAATTAATTATTTTGTTGTATGGTAAATTAATACATGAAATGGACTTTGTCTCAAAATGACATTCATATGCATTTCACACCATGTTTTTTTTTTTAAATATTATTTTCAAACAGAATACGCTAAAGAGTTTAGAGATGTATTTTAAAAGATATAAAATTTAAACAAATGAATGTAGAGAATAAGAATGAAGTTGTTTGGGGAACAACAAATACTTAATTGATTTAAAGAATTGATGTAAAGAATAACAATTTGAAGAATTTGGGAAAACTTTTCCTTTTTTTTTTTGCCAATTCTTTCATTAATTTTATTTCCTTGATAGCTGCAAATTTAAATGTATTTTCTTTAAAACCAACCACTTTTATTTAATATTATAATCACTGACCGGAAATAAATTCTATTTGTTATGCTTCATTTATGATGCAAAAACTCTTAAGAAACCACCACATAAGTTCAAACATGATTTCCTTAAACCATAAAAAAACACAACTAAATAGCTTAAGATAAGCAAAAAGGATATTTGAAGAAATGTTAATATATAGGGAAAGGTTTCTTAAAAGTTTTTATAATAAAATTTTATATATTTGTTTATCCATTTTTGACCAAAATATAGCAGCTTAACCAAACTTGACCAGCAAATTAACATTGAAAGTATTACTAAAGATTAAAGGATATTTTTGTACATAAGATTTTATTGCTAAACTACTGGTTTAAAAGGTAATTTTTAAGATTTGTATCTTGAAAAGTAAAGTTTGTTTAAGAAAATACATAAAATTTTATATTGTAATAATAGAGAGAAATTTTTGGGGTTTTCATGGCAGTTTTTAACTTGACATTTTAGTTTGTTTTTTTTTTTGTTAAAAAAAACTTTGACAGTGATGTATTACTTTAGAAATTTTTAGTTTAAGCAAAAATTTGTGCATTATGAAAAGTTTATTTCCCCCAAAAAAACAACAACTATACC